TGCTGGTGCAAGGCTCAGAGGGCCCAGACCAGTTTGGGTTGCATTGGAGATAGCTGGTGTTTACTGACAAGCAGAAGAGCTGACTCTGCAGGCCTACAGATCATGGAATCATGTCTGGTATTGTTCAGAGGGACCAAGATGACCAGGGAGTCCACCGACCAACAGACCATTCTTCACTTCTTCTTCGCCAAGATTGCAGACTTGGTGAGAGGGTTCCATGGCCCAAATTGATTTCAGTTACCAGATATCCTGTTCTTTTCTCAATTACATCAGTGCAGCACACTGCATCACAATTTACCACCTGCAACACAGACTTCTTAACCCAATTAAGCACTGAGGCCTACACCACCTGCAACACAGACTTCTTAGCCCAATTCAGTATTTAGGTTAGATACAGTACAGATTCAGTGCCCACCCATACACACACCCCCCCCCCCCATTCATTGCTCTGTATGCAGGACTACTCCTGCAGCATATGTGGCTCTGTGGACAGTGACACTGTTAAAACCTCCAACATATTATAGCCATAATGGAACTTGATTCATCAAGCCAATTCCCTACCTATTGGAATACAAATTCTATCAAGAGTCTACTCCCGCCACTTGCTCATCTATACTGATCTTTGCCTTCATCTGCTTCTATTAAGGGACCCTTTTTCTAATTCTGCTACCATCAGTCAGGGGAAATGTTTCCTACTACTGTGCTTTTCCTTTTTCAATAAATCTTGCCCTCAAGCAAAGAGGACCTCAACCTTAATGTGCACCAACTAGGGCCCCAACAAGCACACAGAAAATTGTTTTCTTTAATATTCTGGGGTGATATTAAAGGGGACACTAGCATCCGCATATTCATCTTCTAGTTAAACCCTGTTCCCATACTGTACGAATACAAAAGTGAGCTAGCCCAAATTTTTTTATAACTTACTACAGCACATTTTTGCAAAATATAGTGTGGGAATTGGCATTCAAAACTCAGGTCCTGCAGGACAATTTCAGTTTATAAAAGGGGTACTGTGTTTGGTAATTTGACTAAGTTTTGCAGAGTGTCTAGCAGTTGTATACAATTGCTGTTATTTCTTTTGTGTTTGCACCATTTCTTTAATTTCAACACAAACAAAATATTGGTTCTCCCTAAACTGTGTGATTACTTTGTGTTCCAGGGCCAGGGGATTCAAGGTGTTACGGTGGAGTAAGCAGGGTTTGTGCTTTCAAATCAGGCTAAAAAAAAACAGGAAACCCAAAAATATTCAGCGGCTCTTAAGGGGTAGTGCTATATATACATAGGAAGAAAAGAAAAGACTTTATACGTAGGAAGAAAAGAAAAACTCCTTCCACATTGAAAAAAGAAAAGAAAGGAAAATAAACTAAAATTTATGAAGAAATTTAATTTTTTTAGTTTTTTTTATTGGATATGTTTTATGGCAGAAAGTAAAAAATATTGTTTTTCAAAATGTTTGGTCTTTTTTTTATAGAGCAAAAAATAAAAACGTAGTGGTGATCAAATGCCATCAAACAAAAGCTCAATTTGTGGGGAAAAAAAAATAATATAAATTTACTTTGTGTACAGTACTGCGCATGAACGTGCAATTTTCAGTTAAAGTAATGCAGTACCAAAAAGCAAAAAGTGGCATGGTCAGGAAGGGGGGTAAATCTTCCTGAGATCAAGTGCTTAACCCAATAACACTGCCCCCTGTTGGCCCTTAAAGTGGGCTTTAAGTTTTAGGGGGCAGCATGGCTCCTCTATCATGTGACTGCTGTGATTGGCTATCAGTCACATGATCGCGAGACCATCCCACTGGCTCCTGGTCAGAAGCCATGACCTAAAACTGTCATTGACAACTTAGTCAGTGTGCTGCAAGCACACAGTGAGCACATTTTCAGCACACAATCTCAGGCCACCAAAGGCACCTACAGTATGTGCAGCAGCTGTGTGTTAAAGCCCATTTTTCTTGCACTGCAAATAGGTGTCACTTGGTCTGATGACTATGGATGATTTTGTATATAGTTATATTACATAAAGGCACCTTCCATACACATATAATATATACATTTTCCCCAAGATAAAGAACAAATTCTTTTCCTTCAGACATGTTGCGTTCATCTCTGACAAATACTTTTCAATCCAGAAAATATGCCAGCTAACACATGGTGTACCTGCTGATTTAAACTGTGAACATTTGTGAACTCTGTAATGATCCTATAGGCAATCTGAGTTCTTCTGATTTGCAAATGTTCCAAAAAAGCTTAGAATAAATAAAGAATAAGTTACAAGGAGACATGTGAGTGTGTATATATGAATATATATATATATACAGTGCTCAGCATAAATGAGTACACACCCCAAAAGATTTGTCAAAAAACTTTCCTTTCAGAATCAACATTTTCTATGGGACACTATACTACAATATACTCCCACAAATGAAGGCCGTTGATTGCAAACAAGATTTGTTATTTGCACACACAAAAAAATATTTTTCCTAACAAATCCATTCAAGACCATATTGCAAAAATGAAAACACCCGAATGAAAGTCTTAGGAGCAAAGCTAAATTTTAGACAACAAAGTCCTAATTAACACTAATTCTATAGGTGAGTAATTATTCATTAAACAGGTATCCAGTAGACAGATGTTAATAAAAGGGCGTTACTTAACAAAGAAAACCCCTTTCCATTTCATACTGTGAGCAATGGCACCACAGGGAAGAGAAATGTCACAAGGCCTGAGAGTGAAATAATTTCTTTTTACACAAAAAAGGTAACAGCTACAAGAAGATCAGCAAAGCTTTACTTAGCAGTGAGAATACTGTAGCAAAAGTTATACAACAATTTAAAAAAGATGGAATTGCAAACATCTCACAGAGACATCCAGGCCATCCACAGAAGTTAACACCTTGACAGGAGCGTCTTCTGATGAGAAGGGTTGAAGAAAATTGGCATGCCATGACACAAAATGACGCACACTGCAGAGGAATGGCATGCATGGGTATCGTCCATGAAGAAAGCCTCTCCTAAAGCCCATGAACAAAAAAGCCTGCCTACAATTTTGCCAGGGCCCATGCTGAAAAAGGATACTAGGACTCTGTACTCTGGAGTGATGAGACCAAGATAAGTGCTTATGGAACCGACGGCTTCAAAACTGTATGGCATCGCAAAGGTGAAGAGTACAAAGAAAAATGCATGGTGCCTACAATGAATTATGATGGTGGCAGTGTCCTTCTATGGGGCTGCATGAGTGCTGCTGGTGTTGGGGAGCTGCATTTCATTGATGGTATCATGAATTCACAGATATACTGCTATATATAAAAAGAAGATGCTACCATCACTCCATTCTCTTGGACGTCATTCAATTTTCCAACATGACAATGATTCAAAACACACATCTAAGGCCACTGCTGCATTTCTGAAGAAGAATAAGGTGAAAGTGATTTCAGTGGCCAAGTATGTCTCCTGATCTGAACACAACTGAATACCTATGGGGAGTTCTGAAGAGACAAGTTGAGCATCACTCTCCATCCAGCATCCAGGCTCTAATAGAGGTCATTCTTGAAGAATGGAAAAAGATAGATGTTGCAATGTGTTGCCAACTTGTTCATTCCTTGCCTAGAAGATTTGGTGCTGTCCTTACAAATCATGGAGGTCATACAAAATACTAGATGTAGTAGTTTTTCTTGTGGGGTGTATTAATTTTTGCATCAACTAATTTGAGTAAAACTGAAGATTTTGTAAAGAAAGTTATATTATTAACCTTACTTTCATGTAATGAGCTAAACAAATGTTCCCTACAACTGTTTTGTCAAAATTTTGGAAGTCTTTCTTGTGTGCATTGAGATATTGATTAAAAGCTTACTTTTCCAAAGAGGTGTGCTCATTTATGCTGAGCACTGTGTATATACCGTATTTTCCGGCGTATAAGACGACTTTTTACCCCTTGATAAAAATCTTCTCAAAAGTCGGGGGGTCGTCTTATACGCCGGTAACGGCATGCTGACACTTTTTAGGGGGGCGGCGCGGTGCCGCCGCCGCCGCCCCCCCCCCCCCCTTTCAACAGAAGGGAAACTAAGTACAGGGGTGGGCAGGGGCTGCTGTCTCTTACCTGGCTCCGGTCCCACGATGATCCGGTCCAGGAAGCGCGGCTGCTCCTTCCTTCGGTTCGTCCACTGGATGTTCGCGCGGCTGCTTGGCTCCGCCTCCTCACCAATGATTGGCCGCCAGAACTGTAGCTCAGGAAAGGCACACAGGCGGCCAATCACCGGCGAGGAGGCGGAGCTGAGCGGCCCCGCAAAAATCGAGTGGAGATGCAGGTAAGTGTGCCGTGCTTAGGTGCTGCTGCAACCACATATGCTGGCTGCAGCAGCACCATACTGGAACAGGGGTCAGCAAGTGTCAGTGGGAGGAATAGTGCCCCATCGTTGGTGTCACTGATACTAAATGATGGGGCATTATTCCTCCCACTGACACCAACGATGGGGCACTATCTATTCCTCCCACTGACACCAACGATGGGGCACTTTTCCCTCCCCCCCCACTGACACCAACGATTGGGCACTATTCCTCCCCCCCCACTGACACCAACGATTGGGCACTATTCCTCCCCCCCCCACTGACACCAATGATGGGGCACTATTCCACCCCCCACTGACACCAATGATGGGATAGTATTCCTCCCCCCCCACTGACACCAACGATGGGGCACTATTCCTCCCCCCCCCACTGACACCAATGATGGGATACTATTCCTCCCACTGACACCAAAGATGGGGCACTATTCCACTGACACCAATGATGGGGTGCTATTCCCCCCAATGATACTAATGATGGGGCACTATTCCTGCCACTGATACCAATGATGGGGCACTATTCCTCCCACTGACACCAATGATGGGACACTATTCCTTCCACTGATACCAATGATGGAGCACTATTCCTCCCACTATTCCTTACCAATGATGGGACACTATTCCTTCCACAATGACATTCCTTCCACTGATACAATGATGGGACACTATTCCTTCCACTGTCACCAATGATGGGGCACTATTCCTGCCAGTGATACTAATGATGGGGTGCTATTCCTCCCCACTGACACCAATGTGAAATGGGGCGCTACCTACCTCCTGACCACCGGCACTGACCCTGAACGCTTGCTAATGATGTTTGGCACTAGTGTTAGTATTTTAGTATTGCCACTGATATGTTTGTATGGTTATGATGTTTATAAACACTATTCCGTTTTCCCACTCAGACACCAATGATAGCACCAAGGGGGGCACTGAATGTCCCTACAACCACTGATTAGTTCCAGGTGTTTGATGGGGCACTATGCTTGATTGCTGGGAGCACCGCTGGCCAGCCCTGGTACTGCAGTCATATGGCCAGCAATAAATATAATAGTGGGACTGCAGCCTGCCTTACAAGACCTGCTAAATTACCATTGCTGGCTGGCCATTCCTGACAGTTAGGAATCAGCTCACCCAGGATACCATCAAGAGAACTGACAACCAATGCAGAGCTGGCAGGTTCAATGTCCCTGAATTACTTCCTAAATTAGTTCTGGTGTATGGCTTGCTTTGGAGTCTCTGATGTTCTTGGAGGACATGCACTGGTACCTGCTCATAAGGCTGACTATTGAGGGCACTGTCCTTCGCTGACGGTTTTATTGCCTCCCACTGTTACACTCTTGGATGGGGCCTGTATGACACCAATGATGGGGGCACTATTCCACTAGTGATACTAATGTTGAGGGGTGCTTTTCCCACTGATACCAAATGATGGGACACTATTCCTGCCACTGATTAATGATGGTGCACTTATTCCTGCCCACTGACCATGATGGGCACTATCCTCCCTGACACCCACTGTGGCGGATACTGACAATGAGGGGATGGGGGCACTATTCCTCCCACTGATACCAATGATGGGGCACTATTCCTCCCACTAATACTAATGATGGGCACTATTCCTCCCACTGACAACCAATACAATGATGGTGTTGCACTAGGGGTAAGTCTATATACGAACGAGGTATATAGCCCAAACCACATTTTAAAACACCATCTTATATAACGCCCATCGTCTTATACTGCCGGGCGGTATATATATATATATATACTATATCCAGAAAAAGTAGTCCCAGACTTGACCAATGTGCTCTGGGCTACTACATAAAATGTGCTCTGAAACGTCATCCCATAGTCCACAACAATAGAAGAACACTGTCTGCTGAAACATAATACGACACAAACATTAGACTGTGTCCCATGGTTTAATTGCACATTAACATGTATAAATTGGTTCTATCTCACAGTGCAGGGAGGAAAAAGTATGTGAAAACCTTTGGACTTAATAATGGGGCACTAATCCTTTGGCAGCAACTAATCGGCTACCAAACGTTTCCCTTGTAGATTGCAGACAGATTCCTGCACCATCTGGGAGTCATTTTGGACCACTATTCCTGATGGAAAACTGTTTCAGTGTAGCAATATTCCCTTGGGATGTTCTGCACTGGAATTCGAGGTAGTCATTTCAATACGGGGTTGAGGTCAGTGGACTCTGACTGGGCCACTCCAAAGAGGCTATTCTGTTGCTGTTGCAGCCATTAGTTTTTTAATTACTTCGAAAAGTGCTTTGGGTCATTGTTCCTGTATACTAATCACCCATAGCCTCTGAGGATACTTCAGTTGGTGGACAAATGCCCCGTACGTTTTCTGATAAATATGTATAATGATTATATATAACTCTGGAATTATAACATATGACAACAATCCGTCAGTCCCTGAGGCAGCAAAGGCGAGCCCCAACCCCCATTATCCCTCCATATCCATTCTACAGTGGGGATGAGGTTTTGATGTTGGTGTGCTGTCTTTTTTTCTCCACACATAGGGTGTTGTGGTTTCTTTCAAACAACTTCAATCTCTGGTTTTCAAATACTGCAGTAAGTGCCAGCTAGAACAATGGTGCTCTTTTGCAAACTTCAAACGTGCTGCAATATTTCATCAACAGGTGTCCTCACCATGTACTCCATTCATTGTTTTAAGAGAATGTCCACAAGAAATGTTATTGTGGCCGAGATTTCAGGTCTTTTAGCTGAACATGGGATTCTTTCTTTACCTCATGCAGCATTCTCTGCGCTGTGCTCATGCAGTCATTGTGTAGAAAACGGCGCCTAGGGAGAGTAGCAACATAAAACTCTCTCCTCAGTCTGTCTTAATCAATTGAGGACACTATAACAGATCAAAGGCTTTTGGAATACTTTTGTAAATCCCTCAGCTTCATAGGTCATACAATTTTCTTTGATCGTTATCTTCTGAAAGCTCTTTTCTGGCAAGGGTCATAAGGGTTCACACTTTGCTTCTTGAAACATAAACCCAAAAACATGTAGTCTTTTTAAAGGGCAGGACAGCTTGCTGTCAGCTAACACACAAAATGCACACCTGATTGGAGTCAAGGTTGGCTCACAGACTCCTGAGCTCCAATTAGCTCTTGGGAAGAATCTTTAAATACATTTTCAGCAGCAACCACATCATACATTTTTAATGGAACATATAATGTTTATAAATACTCTTATCTTCAGCAGTAGTAAATGAGTCAATAAAAATGTAATTAGAAATGTTTTATGCCCAATTCATGCATAAACGGCCACGTAATCCCAAGGGGTCCACGTGTTAGTAAAATTGTAAATATCTTTGCAACTACTTACTATATCCAGGTAAATTATACCTTGTTTTTTTATTACAATTTGGTGATAAATGGTAAGAATATATTTTATTCAATATATATAAATTTTTTTATTATTATTATTATTATTATTATTATTAAAAAATAGCCCAAAATAGTAAAATAAAAATATTATCTAACTGTATATTTCATGCATTTGTCATGACCCACAATCAAAGAATAAAACAACAGAAGCTCTCTTACTCCAGTCGATTGCTGTGATACTATATATGTGTATGTTATTTGTTGTTTGCACCCGTATTTGGGCCTTAAAACAAAAGTGAGCCCCTTTCTTGTTTCTATCATTTCTAAGACACACTGACCCGAAATGACACAAAATCACAAAGCTTTTTTGGAATTACTTCTTTAAACACACTGCCCTAGAAGCTGTCAAGTCTTTTTAATATTCAGTTTTATTTACAGTCACAGTTTTCAATAATCGTTTCCTTAAGCCTTAAAGAAGGGGGCAGAGTGTAGTCCCCGAAACACATTGGATATCAAGTTTATTATATATTTGGTATAAAATCTCTTTTCTTGATTTCAGCTTTTTAGTGTGGTGTTCCTGTCTTTTGATCCAACCATTGAGGTTTCCTTGGGAGTTGAGGTGTACGGAAGCAGCCCACATATCGCCCAGATGCCCTATTGGGATAACAGTTTACTTTTGAAGAAACTAGTCGCAGGTACCAAGTAATATCTTCTAAAGGTTCCAGCATTATGAAACCCATTACCTCAAAAAAACTGAAGCAGACAGAATCTGGAATAACTGTGCATAATAACCAATCTGTCATGTCTATGGTAGTGAGCTCTATAAAACCACAGCTTGGGGTTCCCCAGGGCGCGGAGTCTAAGCCCCAGCCTGCTTGTTCACCAGAGCCCCTGATGGTGGGGATGGACTTGCAGCAGGCTGGGACCCAGGTCGTGGCCCCCAGGTACACCCAGTTGAGGTAGAAGAGACCGCTATCAGGAGCAGAGTACAATGGGAGTAGACTCAGGGGATCCAGTAGGCAAGCCGAGGTCAGTACAGGCAGAAGACAGGCAATGTCAGGAACGAAGCCAAGGTCGGTACACGGATATACAATATAGGAGGAATGTCAGGGACAAGCCGGGGTCGGTACACAGATAGACTTGAACGGATTCTCAGAGGACCACAGGAGCTCAGACAACAAACATTGCTCAGGCAATGTGGCCCAGTCTGAGCATGTCTTAAATAGACAGGCAGACAAGGAGGTGGGACAGGAAGTGATGGAAGGGAAGGACATAAAACCCAGGGAATAGCAGATGACGCCCATAGGTGAGCACAGAACAACACACATGTGAAGGAATCAAGGGCAGCATGGAGGTAAGTGTAAACACACAAGAGGCTGCAAGCTAACTTGTGACACAATCAGCTTCCCTCTTCAGCTTCTTCAGTTAAGCATTGAAAATGAAAGATAGAATCTGATTGGGTGTCATGCACAGTTGTTCCCAATTCTAGCTGTTCCTGTTTTGAGAAATTCCCCCCATTGTATCTTTTTCTCCATTCAAGAGGAGAAATAGTACAGGGGTGGGTTGCACTGATCACTGTGACAGTCAGTCACAGGCTATCATAGTGATCATATGTTCAAGAGCCAGACCTCCTGGCCCTTAATCATCAGTACAGGGCTCTGTCCTCCTGGCTCCTGATGGTTAGTATGAGACTCGAAGCTGTCAATGAACGCCAAGTCTCCTGTGAGCACACTATGCAATGCACTCCCAGCATAAACACAGCTGCACACACATGTTGCCCCAGGGCAGACCTCTTTGAGGTTACATATGTGCATACGCTCAACGACAAAGGGTTATAAAGCGAGTTATAAATTAACTGTAGTAGTTGCCTTTTTTCAGTGTGTGAGTACAGGTGGAATGACCTTGTCCTATAACAAAATAAATCCTGTACAAATATTCATCTGTAAGCGGCAGAGGACATGAAACAATATAGTCGGAATATAATAAAGGGACACTAGGAGAGCAGACAATATATATATTGGATTCCTTCCATTCCACAACTAGCAAAATACATCAAAAGCTAAAGCTGGAATTCTCTCATGGAAATTATTCACCAAAAGGTGAGACAGTAACAGAGACTGGAATTCAATCATGAAAATTATTCACTACAATTACAGATTCCAGGAAGCCCTGCTGGGCAGAATAGGAGACATGACTTCCAAAAGCTCACAGCAAGTGTTTTTATAGTCTGAGAATCTACAATGGCTGATATGACTGTCTCACATCACTACAGGTGTGCCCTATAATTGCATCTGGAATAGATATCATCCAGTCTGTTAACTATACAGAAGCCGTTGTTGAGGCCTTCTAGGTTATAGTAGAACTCTAGTCAAAACCTAACTAAGCTTAAACATAATCCAACCACCCATTCTAAGCCCTGTGCTAACTAACCTGTAAAGAAAAGATATGTATACTTACCTAATCTAAGGGTGCTCCAGTCTGGTCACATGATATTCCCAGTGGCCAGCTGTAGGGGAGAGGATAGAGCAGCAACAGAGCCTGAAGTCACCCATAGACTTAGTATGGAGCATCCATTGTCTGCTCTCCCTCCTCTACACCAAAGCTGACACTGGAACCTAATCATGTGACCAAACCGGTTAGATAAGGTAAGTATACACATTGTTCCTCTACAGGATAGTTAGCATAAGGTTAGATAAGGTAAGTATACACATTGTTCCTCTACAGGATAGTTAGCATAAGGTTAGATAAGGTAAGTATACACATTGTTCCTCTACAGGATAGTTAGCATAAGGCTTAGAATGGGGGAGAGAGTAGGTTTAAGCTTAGTTTTGACCAGACTTCTACTTGAAAGTGGTTGTAAACCTCGGACATGAATTATGAACAAAGCATATCCCTCTGTAGTGTGTACTTGTCTCAATTAACAACACTAAAGCACAGTACACATGGGCTAAATATCAGCTGGTTTCAGTAGGTTCAATAGAAACTGGCTGACATTCAGCTCGTGTGTACAGCAGCTTTTCTGACAGAAGCCAGCTGAACATCTGGCTTCTGTACAATGGGAATGCTAGAAAAACATCTGTCAGTCGGCATCTGATCAGTGCTCGCAGCCCTGTCAGAACACGATAGCGCCTCAGTTTTTTTCATTTAGCCTGCTGGGTTGAACAAAAAACCCCTTAGTGTGTACCAGTCATAAGTATCACTTTCGTCTGCTGCTTAACTTCTCTGCTATCAGCATGAATCACTTCTGACTAGTTTACCTGACACCAAGAGAAAAAGGTGACAGGGGAGGGATCTCTAACAGAATGACAGCCTCAGCTCTGTT